TAATGAGAACGCAGCGCAGACCGGGACGAGAACCATGAGAGGGGCACGTCCGTAGGGTTGAAGTTCAGAGAAAGCTCAGATCCCGCCCCTTTCCCCTCCTCTTGGGCTCCTCAGGGGACGAGCAGTGACGTCTTTGGTGACGTTCGGGGGAGGAACTGAGCATTTGCGGCTCGGGCCCTGCTGGGTCCTCCGTGCTCTGTGCCACCGGCCTGCAGAGGGCTGCCGGGTGCTTCCCGCCAGGCGGCCACGTCCCTCCTGCTGGGGGACGAGACTCACGGTCAGACCCGGTGCCCGAGGGGACTCAGGGTCTGGGGGTGGCTGCCGACCGAGCCCGGCGCGGCCCCAGCCCAGCCGTCCCAGGGCGGAAGCGGGTTCAGGGCCGGACGCCTGAGCCGAGGTTCCGGAGCAGGGGAGGGACACCAGTCGCCTTCTCAGCTGCTCCTCAGAGGGAGCCCGGGGTTCTTCGTCTTCTCCACGAGAGGTGGAGGAGGAAAGAACTAGAAAGCCCGGGCTGGGCGGGCCGGGAGGCGCGGCCAGGGCGGCAGAAGCGGCTCCCGCGAGCGCCGGCTCCTCCGCCCGCAGGTGAACGAGCACATCAGGCTGAAGGTGCTGGGCCCGGACTCCATCGCGGTGACCTTCACCTCCCTCGACGAGACAGTCCGGCTCACCGTGTCGGCCAGCAACTGTCCCCACGGCCCGGCGCACGACAGACGGGTAAGGCAGAGCCGACCAGCGCCGTCCGCGCCCCCAGGGCGTCTTCACGGGGGCCGCCGCCTCACGTCTGCGAGTCTTTCCTCCTTTCTCTCTCTGCATCCTTCCCTTCCTGCCCTTGGTGCCACCGTCTCTGTGAGAATTTTCAGTTTGAAGTGGCAGAATCCGGTATGCGCTGGCTTCAGCCATCAACAGAGGGCACTGGCTCAGTGAAGTGGGACGTCTGTCTAATGCGGCTTCAGGAACGGCTGGATCCAGGCCCTCGAATGATTCCATCAGCTCTTTGTGTTTCTTGGCTCTGCTCTCCTCTCTGCTGGCTTCATTCTCAGGGAGTTTCTATCTTGCTGGTGTCGAGATGGCCACAAACGTCTCTGGGCTGTTATTCTGCCAGCTTTAGCGTCCCCAGGAGAAGGAGGGCTCTTCTTTCCGGAGCGCTCCAGTAGAAGTGCCGACGTCAGCACTCGTGGGTTCCGCTGGCTGCCTGTGCTGGAAGCGTCCCCATGGCCAGGAGGGCGTGTGGCTTCCACTGGCCAGGCTGGCGTCTCCTGCCCGTCCTGGGGGCCACGGGTGAGATCAGCCCCACGTGCACCCCCCAGGCGAAGGATGAGGCAGAAATGTTTCCCTAAAGGAAAAACCAGGGAGCTCTTACCAGGAGGAGCAGAAATGACGCCAGGCAGATAACTGCCAATGCCCTCTCTGCCACCCGCTTCCCATCCCAGGGAGAGGCCGCCCCTTCCTCTGTTTGTCCGTCCCAGCTGTGACAACCTCCATTCTAGACTCCTGTATCTGCAAGTCCATTTTCTCCAAAGACTGGGGATTCCCTGTGATTCCCGCTCGAATCTGATGTCCCAGGGCCCAGCATAAGGACTGCGTCAAATTAAGAACTTACCAGGTATCTGTTCAGTGGAGGAGAATGCAGTGGATACTGGGTCCCCGTGGGTCCTGCTGTGTGCCTGGTGGTCTCGGGTCGAATCAGAGAGAGAGATGGCGGGTGGTCTCGGGTCACATCAGAGAGAGACGGCGGGTGGTCTCGGGTCACATCAGAGAGAG